GGCACTTTGCGAAGGATAATTCTCCATTGTGCCTGGCTGTCCTATGCACTGTGGGGGCAGGGGGAATGCCAGCAGAACCCTCCCAGGGAGTCTGAGAACCAAAAAAGTCCCCTATGCTTTCCAACAACCCCTGGAAAGAGGGGTTACTGCTTCTGGTTGAGAACCAGTGACACAATTTTGGTTCCTGGGCTTTTATGGCATCGATTTTGATTGCTCAGGCATCAATTCCTTCTCAATTCTTGGTTGTATCCTGGTTAGATGAATTTGCTGGATTAGTGACCATAGCATGTGTTACAAAGGTTAAGACAGGACTTTAGCACAAGTTTGCAAACTGTACTTGAGAGGACCTCTAAGGTGGGTCCTGCCTTTAAATCGTTTTATATATTTGGCTTTACTGTAAGATTTTCTTTTCACGGTTAACATAAGTTTGAAAATAACTGTTTTAGCACAAAGCAGATGTCTCACTAGAAATATGGAATTGCCACAATCTGTTAATAAAGCTGCTTCTTGAAAGTTAAATATTTCTACTTGTGCACTATCTTAAATACAGAACTAGTGGGACAGTTTTAAATTCTATAATAAATCCACTTCCAGCAGCTAACACGATCTGAGATCTTTACCACTTTAAACTAAAGGGTTTCCTTTTAACAGGGTTTCTTTATGAAGCAGTCAACACCCATGCATAATAAGCTAAAATACCTCCCACCTCCTGATCCTGGAGGGCAAAAATCTTATTCTCTCATCCTTTTTTGACAGGGCCAAACTTCTATCTGGAGTAGAATAAAGAATTACTAACGGGCAACCATTAAGATTCTATACTTACCGTAGTCCTTTAATAGGCAAGCTGACAAAACAGCACCCAAGTGTGAAAAATTCAGGGGAAATCCCCAATAATTGGTTAGTCTGATCTCCAAAATGCAGGAAGCCTCCTAAACCAGCAATTGAAACATAATTCTTACTCCTTTGACTAAAATTTTGATTATTTCCCTCTAATCATTGCTAGGGCTGGTTGCGGGGGGAGGGGGGGGAGTTGAGGAGGAAATCTGTCAATATTTACTTAGGACTCAGAAAAATGTTTAAAAAAAAATAGTCTCAAACAAACACTTTGATAGACAAAATACCTCCACCGTATGTACGCTCTTCCTTTTCAGAAACTTCTGAACTTGCTATGTGAGTTTCTGCAAAAACTGGCTCAAACATACATTTATGGGGTTGATAACTTCAGATCATATGCATCAAAATTTTAACACTTTGTTCAAAAGAAGAGCTAAAACTTCTTCAAAACACCAGAAAAACAGACTTCTAATTCAACTCGCATTATCAGTACTGAATTTCTTTAGAAACAATCGTATCATAAAAGTAAAAGACAATGACATTGTCATTAAATTAAATTTTAAAAAAGGTGTTTGCATGTGTCAGTCCCATGCTGCCTCTTGAGATGAAAAAAACAAAAACAAAAACAAAAACACCTCTGTCAGAAGAATCTGAATCGTGATCAATTTGGATGAATAAACTTGGTGCTTTGCCACAATCCAAATTAGTTAACTTGAAAAATCAGGCAAAGGTTTGCTTTTAGAATCAGACTCTGAGCGTCTCAGTGTCGTACTACCAAGGCCTATGGATTGGGTTCATTTCTTCCTCTCACAAGGTCATCCCAATGCGGCTCTATTTCAGTTGTGGCAATCCTAAACAGGGCGTGGAGATGCTCATCTGTCAAGGGTTGGCTCAAAGTATGTTGGTTTCGAGTCAAATACGAAAAAGCCTTTTCGCAGATTTCATTACTATCAAACAAGGATGCCACCTTACAGGCAACCCCTTTGATAATTGGGTAAGATTCGGCAGACAAGCCAGCATAGAACTGCCCTAGGTCTTTGACTCTGTATTCATTCCAAAGGTTAGTATTTGCCTGAAGTTTGGTTAGCTCCACTCTTACTGAAATAGGTGCATATTCAGGCTTAAAATTAAAAGGATTCGCAAAAAGTTCCAAGTCCTTTTTAATGAACCTGAGGTCCTTGAAATGTCTCTCAAATTCTTTTTGCAGGCGACAGATCACCACTTGATACCTATCAGGATCAAATATTTTTTGTTCTTCTTTAAGATGCTGTTTAAGCTCATCGACAACTTCTCTGAAGGCCGCAAAGTGTGTTAGGTTTTTTTCTTCAATGTGTCTCTGCAGTAAACTCAGCTTAACTTCAAAGGTACAGATATGGTCAAAGGCAGCGGCAGCAAAGACTTTACTAACTCTCAACAGTTCACTGAGTTCTCGAAGATGGTCCATGATATCCACCAAGAAGCCAAAGTCACAAAGCCACTGCTTGTCTGTGAAATGGACCGTTGTGGCCCCTATCGAAACCAGGAAGGCTTCTATCTCTTTTCTCAGGGAAAATATCAGTTTTAAAGTTTTCCCTCTTCTAAGCCAATTGTTCAGACACCGTCCGTTAACCCTTTCGCCATGCTCTGATTCAGATTCAGTGAGGAGAGCCTGAAATTCGGGGCGCCTAACGCCTCTGGTCTTAATCAAAACTATCCATTCAGATATAGTATTTATGATCTGGTTAACGTCCACATCGTAGGAGCTCAACAGTTCCAAGTGCAGAAATCCTGAATAATGGATAACATTCCAACAGTTGGGGCTTACAGCCTTTTCTCTCATGTATGACACTAGTCCTGAGTTCTCACCAATCATCCTCAGCGTGTGGGTCGTGGTGAGTCCAACCATTCGCTGCAAGCTAAGCCCTGCCGTCTGCAGGGCCTCGAGGATTGCCGCCATAAGGGCCCCAACACTGAAGTGACGAGTCAGGTTGATGATGGTCAGAAGCTCTTCTTGTACCTCCAAGTCCTGGCCCACGCCACGGACAAAGACCAGGAGGTAGTTCTCATAGGCCACAAAGGCCTGGTCGTCCAAGGCAAGGGAATAGGCTTTAAAGTCCTTGGCTCGGTTAAAAAGCTGACTGCGTAGATTCTTGTTAATGTTGAGGACCCTCTGCCGCGTGACCTCTGGCGATAAATCAACGCCATCCAGAGCGCTTACGTGTTCGGGCAGCACATCCCTCAGCATCACCTCCATGCACTGGTACACAAAGTCCCCCTCACCCCAGCCGCGACCCTTCAAGGCCAAGAGGCGGGCGAGCCCGAGGCCTGCACGGGCGGCTCTCTCCTCGGGAGTGAGCGGGGTGACCACGGGCAAGTCGCCCTGCTGCAGACGCTCCACCAGGGCCGCGCGCTCGCCCTCCGCCACATACCGCTCGTAGTAGTCGTGCTCGGCCTCGTAGTGGCGCCTGACATCGCGTTCGCGGGTGGCTACGACGAGGCGGCGACAGACCAGGCACAGGGCCCCTTCGCCCTCCGGAGGCTCCACCACCAAGTAACGCTGGGTCCACTCGGCCCGGAAAACCCGAGACTCGTCGACTTCCATTTTGCTCCTCTTAGGCGTCATAAACATCCTACTGCAGGCCGCAAGAAGAGGGTCGACCTCCGGGAGGCCGCAAGGAGAGGGGAGGAGCGGGAGCAGGAGCAGGAGCAAGCACCTCCTCCGCTCTGCGCCAGATCACCCCAGCAGGGGGACACCAACCTCCGGCTACGGCACCTGCACTCCTATTGGCTGGAGATTTCGTATTCCCTAGCCCAGGAATGAGCCAATGGGAGAGTGGACAGCGCGCAGGCGCATACCCTTCTAGCCAGTGGACTGAAGGGCTATAGGGAGGGACCAAGTGAGCCGGGCACCGGGGGACTTAAGAAATTTGACTGGCATCCCAGCTGCCCAATCAACGGCTCCCTCGCTCCGAAGCCGCTGCCGCGGGAAGGTCTGGCCGGGCAGCGTAGACAGAGTTGATGGAAAGACGTCAGCACGGAGCCCTGAGGTGATTGGCCGAAGGTACTTCCGGTGAGCATCTCGACGTGTCTTGGGCTTCTCTGGCGCCAAAATGTCGCTCGTAGCGGGGGTTATTCGGCGGCTGGACGAAACAGTGGTGAACCGCATCGCGGCAGGGGAAGTCATCCAGCGGCCAGCCAACGCCATCAAGGAGATGATTGAGAACTGGTAGGGAGGGAGTGGAGCCGGGCTTCCTTATAAGCTACGACTCAACGGGCCGTTCTTCGGGATGGCGCGGACCCGCCTCCCTGCGGTGGGCGGAGGCGTGCACGGCGCACGCCCACAGCGCCCGAGGTCTGGGTGTCCTGCTCCTCAATTCCCGGGTACCGCGAGTTCTTGAGAGCTCTCGCGAGACTTCTGTAGAGCTGTTGGGGGCGCGAGCGGCGGCGACAGAGTATTTTAATGGCGCCGTTAGTTGAGGGAAAGACTTTTTATATTCTACATACAGAAGGTGCAAGATTTTAAATGCATAAACATTCTCAGAAGGGGGAGCCCGCTTCATGCTCCAGAGAGTACCGTGTTATGCGTGTAATGTTTGCTCCAAAAATAATCAGTCCAGGGTGCAGTTCATTTTGAATTTTATTCCAAATAAATTGTCGAGGTTTTCGGACAGGCCGATGGACACTGCCTGGGTTTAACTTGTGATATCCCTACTGCCGAGTTAGTGACCCAACTTAGTGTTTTCCTCCCCTTTACCTCTCCGTGGGGGAGCACATCAAAGACAACCTGGTGTTAACGGGGTATCCCGAGGATTCTGACGTTTCGGAATTTCCTTCGCATTGTGGAAGGAAGAAGTTAGAAACCTGGAAGGAAAGGTGGGGGTAAACTATAAACTTCCAAAAAGGCTCGCTCGTGGGGTACCTAAACGTGACCTGCGTGTTGAAATCAATTGATGTTAATAAGATCCGTACAGTAAAGGAACAAAATGAGCCTGCAAAGAACGGTAGGTTTGTGAGGGGATTTATTGGGAAAACGGAAGACAGCCGTTCGGGGTCGTGGGACTAAAAACCGTGCAGAAAGGAGGGAAAGGGACAGAGCTGGGAGGCAGACAAAAGATGGAGCAGGGAGGCTGGCAACTTTCTCCTTCCACCTAACGTGACGCCGCCTTTTGTCTCTGCAGTGTTGGAATATTCACTGATGGAACGACGTGGGCCTCATCCGAAGGCCACAATACTGCACAACCAAACCCAATATATTAGCTAAGTGGTTAATAATCAGTCCTGTGAGCAGGGCTTTTGTTTGGAGCCCAGTCGTGCTCTTTTTTAATGGGAAGTCAAGATGGCTAATACCACGTCAATTCAGGCGCTCCTGAGAAAGGTCTTTGATATTTAAGTAACTTATTATTTTTGAAAAAAGAATTTTCTGTGCGAGATTACCCTTCTTTCTCGTGCAGCCGCGGACTGAATTCCTTTTCTGTCGCTGGCGCTCTTTGTGATTGTTGGCTACGCTTCGGAAGCACCAAAGATTTACCGGCTTCCCAGAGAACTTTCTGTATTGCCATTTTTTTTTTCTTTTCCCCAACAAAATGTATTTTCTTAAAAGGGTATTAGCATAAAAACACATATATATTTTTTTTCTTTAACATTTATTTATTATTGAGAGACAGAGAGACACAGAGTGTGAGCAGGAGAGGGGTAGAGAGAGGGGGAAACACAGAATCTGAAATAGGCTCCAGGCTCTGAGCTGTCAGCACAGAGCCTGATGCAGGCCTCGAACTCACAAACTGCGAGATCATGACCTGAGCCAAAGTCGGTCGCTTAACCAACTGAGCCACCCAGGCGTCCCTATATAGATTTTTTTTAATGACATTTAATTAGGGGCCCTCGGGAACCCAAGGCTGAATAAAGTGGAAGGGATAAGTGGCAAAATTAGTTGAGAAGAAGGTAAGAAACAGGCATGTGGTAAACAGGGATGTGGATCCTACTTTTAACTTCACTTTCTTTCCCAGAGGACCAGAAATGGTGCTGCATGTCCTAATGGAAATGATGCTTGCCCCCTGCCCCTTCTCTCTCTTCTCCCTCTCTCACACAGCGTGTAAACTCTTTACAGTGTAGTCATGGAGCCTGTAAAACAAAGGAAAAACACATCACTCAGACAGTCTGGCGTTTATCTGGAATTTGTTCTCATACCTTGTCTGATTAAAATAGGTGCATTAGAGTAGGGCAGAATAATAACTTTTTTTTTTCTGTTTGATTTGCCAGCTTAGATGCAAAAGCCACCAGCATCCAAGTGGTTGTTAAAGAGGGAGGCCTCAAGTTGATTCAGATCCAAGACAATGGCACTGGGATCCGGGTAGGTAAAAACCTCAGAGGAGGGGGCTGTGCGCGTGCTTTGTGGGGTCCATCTGCAGGAAGGGGCAGAGCCTTTCCTTGTTGGGGAAACTCAACTTTGCAGATGAGATTTTTACCTGAGATTTTCAATACCCATGATAAATATATTTTGAGTGCCTATTCCAAGCTGGACACTTATTCAGGAAAATGGTCCAGGAGAGAGTCATGAGGTTATTTAAAGGATGAATGTTCTGGGCAGAGAGAACATGCAAAGACCACAAAATGGAAGCATGCTGGACTTGTTTAAGCACCAGCAAGGAGGCCCCTGTGTCTCTGACAGGGCGAGGGAGTTGAAGAATAACAGGAAATGAGGGGCACTTGGGTGGCTCAGTCAGTTAAGCGACCGACTTGGGCTCGGGTCATGATCTCGCGGTTCGTGAGTTTGAGCCCCGCATCGGGCTCTGTGCTGACAGCTCGGAGCCTGGAGCCTGCTTCGGATTCTGTGTCTCCCTCTCTCTTTGCCCCTCCCCTGCTTGCACTCTGTTTCTGTCTCTCTCTTTCAAAAATAAATACACATTAAAAAAACTTAAAAAAAAAAGAATGACAGGAGATGAGATCTGAAAGATAAGAAGGCTGATCATGTAGGACCTTGTGGGCCATTGTAACATCTTTGGCTTTTACTCTGATCAAGGTGGGATACTATCGAATGGTTTTGAGCAAAGAGGTGACATGGTTTGGAGTTTTGTAAGAACCCATTTGTCTAGAATATGGAAGATAGACAGTAGCAGGACAGGACAGAGGCAGTGAGAGGGCTTTCGGAGCAGTCCAGGAGAGTGGTGACCGTGCCTTGGACCAATTTGGTTGCAGTGAGATTCCGCATTGATTATGAAGACAGAGCTCTCAGAATTTGCCGATGTATGGTATAAGAGAAAGAGGAGCCAAGGTTCAGGGTCTGGGGCACCTGGGTGGCCCAGTCGGTTAAGTGCCCAGCTCTTGACCTCGGTTCATAGTTCGTGGGTTTGAGTCTCGCATCAGACTCTGTGCTGACAGCATGGAGCCTGCTTGGGACTTGCTCTCTCTCTGTCTCTGCAACCCCTGAAATAAATACAAATAAAACCTTAAAAAAAAAGAAAAGAATGATTTCAAGGTTTTGGCCTGTGCAAATGGAAAAAAGAGTTGCTATTTACTGATGGGAAAGCCTATGGAAGAAACATTTTGGGGAAGATCACAAATTCGTTTGGGAGCATGTTAAACTTAAGATGGCTCTTAGTTGAATAAGTGTGTGGGTCTGGAGGGTAGAGTAGAGGTTTAACAGCTGGAGATGAAAATGTAGTGTATTGCAGTTTGACGGTATTAAAAACTATGAGTCTCCCATGAAAAGGTGCTGAATGCCCCAAGCCTTTAGAGAAATACAAATAAAAGCAGTAATAACATACCATTTGACACCCATTAGGATGGCTATTATAAAAACGATAAGATAAAATAACAAGTGTTATAAAGGATGTAGAGAAATTAGAACTCTTGTGCATTTGCTGGTGGGAATGTAACATAGTGTAGCCACTGTGGAAAATAGTATGGTGGTCCCTGAAAAAAATTAAACAGACTTACCATATGATTCAATAGAATTTGTGGGTATATACTCCAAAGAATTGAAAGCAAGGTCTTGAAGAGATTTGTACCCCCATGTTCATAGCGTATTCACAGTAGCCCAAAGGTAGGAGCTACCCAAGTATCCACAGATGAGTGGATTTAAAAATGTGGTGTGGGGGCGCCTGGGTGGCGCAGTCGGTTAAGCGTCCGACTTCAGCCAGGTCACGATCTCGCGGTCCGTGAGTTCGAGCCCCTGTCAGTTTCTGGGCTGATGGCTCAGAGCCTGGAGCCTGTTTCCGATTCTGTGTCTCCCTCTCTCTGTGCCCCTCCCCCGTTCATGCTCTGTCTCTCTCTGTCCCAAAAATAAATAAACATTGAAAAAAAAATTTAAAAAAAAAAAAAAAATGTGGTGTGTACATATAATGGAATATCATTCAGCCTTACGAAGGATTGAAATTCAGACACGTGCTGCAACATGCCTGAACCTTGACGACATGTCGAGTGAAATAAGCCAGTCACAAAAGGACAGATGTTGTAAGATTCCTCTTGTAGGAGGTTCCTAGAGTAGTCCCATTCATAGACAGTAGAATGGTGGTTGCCTGGGACTTGGGAGGGGTGGGTGGAGAGGAAGTGTTTAGCGGGGATAGAGTTTTAGTTTGGGAGGATGGAGGGTGGTTGCACAACAGTGCGAATGTACTCAAGGCCACAGAA